AAAGGAGGCAAACTAAATTGGTGGGGGTAATGAAATTTTCGCACAAACAGTAGTGTAGGTCCAAATAAACGCTTGGTCAACACCAGGTATTTTTCTCGAAATCAAACCATTTTCAAAATATTTTCATAACAATTGCACTCGAAGGACACATGCACTAAGTAGTGAAGAAGAAATGATTAAATGTATGTCCCTTTGTTCTTAGTCCGACGACGCTTGCTGTATAGGTTATCGTTCGAATTCTCACCTTCACTCATGAACTTTAGTTTTATTCGTGCTATATACTATTGAATTGAGATGGAGGAAAACGACTAGTTAGGCGTATGCTTCTCTTATGAAGATTATAATAAAGATAAAGAAGAGTGATCTCTTATGTCCAAAAGGATAAACAAACTTTGAAAGGGAAAATAGAACAACAGACAATATGCCATAAAAGTTATTTAATAGCACTTTCTTTTGTTTTTGATAGCGCTGAAAAGGGCTATTAACCGTGCCACTAATGTAAACGATTTTGTTTAATAACACTTTAAAAGAGATATTAAAGTACTAGTTTTTAATATAAAAATAATAATTAATTAAAACAATAACTTTAAAGGAGCCAAACGAAATTCGTGGGGGGAAAATGAAAATTTTATTACAAACAGTAGCGTCGGCCTGAACCTTCGCTAATATAAGAAAATAAGAATTAATTAAAATAATAACTAATAAAGAGGAAAATGAAATTTGTTATGGGAAATGAATATTTTTTCATAAATAATAGCGTCGGCCTGAACCGTCGGTAATATAAAAAAAAATTTAATTATTTAAAATAATAACTAAAAAGGAGGAAAACTAAATTGGTGGGGGTAATGAAATTTTCGCACAAACATTAACGTAGGTCCAAATAAACGCTTGGTCAACACCAAGTATTTTTCTCGAAATTAAACCATTTTAAAATGTTTTTATAACAAATGCACTTGAAGGACACATGCATTTAGTAGTGAAGAAGGAATGATTAAATGTATGTCCCTTTGTTGTTAGTCTAACGACGCTTGCTATATAGGTTATCATTCGAATTCCCAACTTCACTCATGAATTTTAGTTTTATTCGTGCTATATATTTTTGAAGTGAAATGGAGGAAAATGACTAGTTGGGCGTAGGATCCTTTTATGAAAATACTAATAAAGACAAAGAAGAGTGATCTCTTCTGTCCAAAAGGGTAAACAACCTTTGAAAGAGAAAATAGAGCAACAGACAATATGCCACAAAAATTATTTATAGCACTTTCTTTTGTTTTTGATAGTGTTGAAAAGCGTTATAAACCGTGCTGCTAATGTAAACGATTTTGTTTAAAAGCACTTTAAAAGAGCTATTAAAGTACTAGTTTTTAATATAAAAACAATAATTAATTAAAACAACAAGTTTAAAGTAGACAAACGAAATTCGTGGTGGAAAATGAAAATTTTAGTACAAACAGTAGCGTCGGCGTTAACCGTCGCTAATATAAGAAAATAAGAATTAATTAAGACAATAACTAATAAGGAGGCAAACAAAATTTTTTATGGGAAATGAATATTTTTTCATAAACAATAGCATCGGCCTGAACCGTCGCTAATCTAAATAAATAAATAATTATTTAAAATAATAACTAAAAAGGAGGCAAACTAAATTGGTGGGGGTAATGAAATTTTCGCACAAACAGTAGTGTAGGTCCAAATAAACGCTTGGTCAACACCAGGTATTTTTCTCGAAATCAAACCATTTTCAAAATATTTTCATAACAATTGCACTCGAAGGACACATGCACTAAGTAGTGAAGAAGAAATGATTAAATGTATGTCCCTTTGTTCTTAGTCTGACGACGCTTGCTGTATAGGTTATCGTTCGAATTCTCACCTTCACTCATGAACTTTAGTTTTATTCGTGCTATATACTATTGAGTTGAGATGGAGGAAAACGACTAGTTAGGCGTATGCTTCTCTTATGAAGATTATAATAAAGATAAAGAAGAGTGATCTCTTATGTCCAAAAGGATAAACAAACTTTGAAAGGGAAAATAGAACAACAGACAATATGCCATAAAAGTTATTTAATAGCACTTTCTTTTGTTTTTGATAGCGCTGAAAAGGGCTATTAACCGTGCCACTAATGTAAACGATTTTGTTTAATAACACTTTAAAAGAGATATTAAAGTACTAGTTTTTAATATAAAAATAATAATTAATTAAAACAATAACTTTAAAGGAGCCAAACGAAATTCGTGGGGGGAAAATGAAAATTTTAGTACAAACAGTAGCGTCGGCCTGAACCGTCGCTAATATAAGAAAATAAGAATTAATTAAGATAATAACTAATAAAGAGGCAAACGAAATTTGTTATGGGAAATGAATATTTTTTCATAAATAATAGCGTCGGCCTGAACCGTAGGTAATATAAAAAAATTTAATTATTTAAAATAAAACTAAAAAGGAGGAAAACTAAATTGGTGGGGGTAATGAAATTTTCGCACAAACATTAGCGTATGTCCAAATAAACTCTTGGTCAACACCAAGTATTTTTCTCGAAATTAAACCATTTTAAAATGTTTTTATAACAAATGCACTCGAAGGACACATGCATTTAGTAGTGAAGAAGGAATGATTAAATGTATGTCCCTTTGTTGTTAGTCTAACGACGCTTGCTATATAGGTTATCATTCGAATTCCCAACTTCACTCATGAACTTTAGTTTTATTCGTGCTATATATTTTTGAAGTGAAATGGAGGAAAATGACTAGTTGGGCGTAGGCTCCTTTTATGAAAATACTAATAAAGACAAAGAAGAGTGATATCTTCTGTCCAAAAGGGTAAACAACCTTTGAAAGAGAAAATAGAGCAACAGACAATATGCCACTAAAATTATTTATAGCACTTTCTTTTGTTTTTGATAGTGTTGAAAAGCGCTATTAACTGTGTTGCTATTGTAAACGATTTTGTTTAAAAGCACTTTAAAAGAGCTATTAAAGTACTAGTTTTTAATATAAAAACAATAATTAATTACAACAATAAGTTTAAAGTAGCCAAACGAAATTCATGGTGGAAAATGAAAATTTTAGTACAAACAGTAGCGTCGGCGTTAACCGTCGCTAATATAAGAAAATAAGAATTAATTAAGACAATAACTAATAAGGAGGCAAACTAAATTTGTTATGGGAAATGAATATTTTTTCATAACCAATAGCGTCGGCATGAACCTTCGCTAATATAAATGAATAAATAATTATTTAAAATAATAACTAAAAAGGAGGCAAACTAAATTGGTGGGGGTAATGAAATTTTCGCACAAACAGTAGTGTAGGTCCAAATAAATGCTTGGTCAACACCAGGTATTTTTCTCGAAATCAAATCATTTTCAAAATATTGTCATAACAAATGCACTCGAAGGACACATGCACTAAGTAGTGAAGAAGGAATGATTAAATGTATGTCAGTTTGTTCTTAGTCCGACGATGCTTGCTGTATAGGTTATCGTTCGAATTCTTAAATTCACTCATGAACTTTAGTTTTATTCGTGCTATAAATTTTTGAAGTGAAATGGAGGAAAATGACTAGTTAGGCGTATGCTCCTCTTATGAAGATTATAATAAAGATAAAGGAGAGTGATCTCTTCTGTCCAAAAAGGTAAACCAATTTTGAAAGAGAAAATAGAGCAACAGATAATATGTCATAAAATTCATTTAATAGCACTTTCTTTTGTTTTTGATAGCGCTGAAAAGCGCAATTAACCGTGCCGCTAATGTAAACGATTTTGTTTAAAAGCACTTTAAAAGAGCTATTAAAGTACTAGTTTCTTATATAAAAATAATAATTAATTAAAACAATAAGTATAAAGGAGCCAAACGAAATTCGTGGGGGAAAATGAAAATTTTAGTACAAACAGTAGCGTCGGCTTGAACCGTCGCTAATATAAGAAAATAAGAATTAATTAAGACAATAACTAATAAGGAGGCAAACAAAATTTTTTATGGGAAATGAATATTTTTTCATAAACAATAGCGTCTGCCTGAACCTTCGCTAATCTAAATAAATAAATAATTATTTAAAATAATAACTAAAAAGGAGGCCAACTAAATTGGTGGGGGTAATGAAATTTTCACTCAAACAGTAACGTAGGTCAAAATAAACGCTTGGTCAACACCAAGTATTTTTCTCAAAATCAAACCATTTTCAAAATAATCTCATAACAAATGCACTCGAAGGACACATGCACTAAGTAGTGAAGAAGAAATGATTAAATGTATGTCTCTTTGTTCTTAGTCTGACGATGCTTGCTGTATAGGTTATCGTTCGAATTCTCACATTCACTCATGATCTTTACTTTTATTCGTGCTATATATATTTGAAGTTAAATCACTACAACATTTAGCCTTTCCAACAACAATTGAAAAGCGTTGCCAGAAATCTGAAAATCGTTGCCTAAACAAATAGGGGACATTTTCTAGGCGTCTCCTGTGCGAGCGTTGCCTATTGTTTGAGGCGACGTCTTTTTTATGTTTTTTGGGCACGCTTTTGAAAAACGTCTCCTATAGAAAAGGAATTGGGGACGATTATTTGTGGCCTCTGAGACAATGTTTTTTAAGCGTTGCCAAATTCGGCTACAATTAACAATCGTTGCCTTAAACCTTAATCAGGAAGGTCGCTTTTGATGTGTAGCCATAGCTTATAGGTTGTTGTTTTATAGTGTCCACATAAAAGATACAATTTTGCAATTATTATCAAAATAATATAGTCAATAATAATTGGCTTCAAAAATAATATTGATTATATAACTTAAACCATACATCCATAAATGTTGTAATATAATAAAATCGAGTTCAAACTTTAATTCAAGATATAATATATAGAGTACACAAAATGCCTAACGTAACATTACTTTTAATACTTTAAAGTATGACCATAGTAAAATAACTAAAAACATAGTTCAACAAAAGCACAAAAATCATATAATGCTTTCAACTACAAGCCAAAAAAAGACATCATCCAACTCACTCAAGTTTATCTTCTAAGAGTAAATCATCCAGATCATCCTCTTGAAATTCGTTAGATATGTCATCCTCCATAAATTCTTCATCTACGTCGTCCTCTTGAAATTCACCATCTATATCGTCCTCTTGAAATTCATCATCTAGATCTATGTCGTCCTCTTGAAATTCGTCATTTACGTCGTCCTCTTGAATTTTATCATTTAGGTCGTCCTCTTGAAATTCACCATCTATATCGTCCTCTTGAAATTCATCATCTAGATCTATGTCGTCCTCTTGAAATTCGTCATCTACGTCGTCCTCTTGAATTTTATCATTTAGGTCGTCCTCTTGAATTTTATCATTTATGTCGTCCTCTTGAATTTCATCATTTATATCGTCCTTTTCAACATCTTCATTGATACATTGCTGCATAAGAAAATAAAATAAAATACATGAACCATAAATATTTTTGGTCCAAATGACAATTAAGACATCAACAAGAATTAAACCTTGCACAAATAAAAATTAAACCAATGAGCAAAACACATTGTTTATATTCTTCACATCTCATGTCATGGGTGGGCTTTATATTACTTTACTTATCTTCTCATACCAGGAATATTCATAAAAAATACTCAATGTTTTACTTTAAGTCTATATGTCTAAAGTTGAAAATTTAGATTTTTCTCTTTTGCATATAACAAATCTTAAACAGTTTCAACCACTTCTAGGTGTTGTCACTACTTAAACAATTTCAACCACTTACTTTATTCTAGGTGTTGTCACTACTTGCAAATTTTTGCATACATTAACAACGATTTTGATACTATAACATAATTAGAAAAATATAAATCAATAATATTGGTATATATGGTTACCTTTCCATGACATGGAGCATGAGTTGATGTAGATGAATGAATTTGCGGTCTTATAGCCTTTGGGGAACTATTAGCATCTCCATGAGATAATCCTAACAAATATTCAATTGACTCTATATTAATTTGAGGATTGCATTGTTGTATTACAGTCTTAAAAGAATTTTGCAATCTATCAATCTTATCTTGAAACTCGTCCCTTAATGTAGAGACCTCTTCACTGTGGGCTTGTTTCAAAGCATTAATCTCTGCCTTTCTCTTTAAGGAAGTTTTAGTTATGTTTCTCCCATAACAACGTACCCTGCCTGGACACTCCTTTCCAAAAACAACTTTAAAAGCTTTTGTATCACTTTCCTCCTTTTTAACCATTTCTTGAAGTTGGGACTAGCATAAATTACAACAAAAAAAATATTAACTACTATTATAGACAATGTTGGCCGGTTATATTAAGCAAACGTATTATATAAACAATGTTACATACAATTACTTTTCCAGTTTCTACATCCAGTTCCTTTCCTTTATTTCCTTTTCGAGTTTCAACAAACATTTTTGATTGAGTGGGCTCTCTTTTTTCCTTTTCACGCTGCACAAATCAAAATAATTCCATAAAAAATCATGTGAATTAAAATTCCTATTCACGAGTCAAAGAAAAGTTTTTCACGAATACTTTAATTGAACAAAGAAACATTCATACAAGGAATACTTTATTGAGAACAAAAGAAAGTTACCACTATTTCACGAGTCAAAGCAAAGTTTTTGGGACCCATTCGATGCATCCACTTTAGTTGAGCTCTATTTCTAATGTTATTTTCACTGATTGCCTACATTTAAATTTGACGGAATTATTATAATAATTATTACTTAATTATGGCATACATAGAAAGGTGTAAATTCACACACATACATAACAAAAATTATTAATCTTACTTGTATAGTTTCCTTACTCCAATAAGCACAAAGACTCTTAAATTGGGCTATTGGCATGTTTGGCGAACAATTTTTGAGTCTCTCGGTCATGTTGGAATACTTTAAAAAATGATTCTTCTTAATTTTGTGCTTATATCTTCTCCATGCCTCTCTAACAGTGGTCTCAATCCAATCTCGTGCTTCAACCGGCAAGATAAACTTCCGCTACATAAATTATAAGATAAGACAAGATCAAGAAATAAAACACTTTTTTTAATAATTATACTTTCAAATTCATAGATAAAAACATACATTAGTATATCTCTAGAAATGGTTTTTATTATCATCTAGCATTCCTGACCAATTGGTGTAACGTAGAGGACAAAATGTTGAGTTCCTAGCAAATGTTCCCAAGAAGAGGCTCAAGTCAGATACTACTTTTTCACTAGGACCAATTGGCTGAAAATCCTCATTAAAGATCACTTCTACTCGCTCTTCCAAAGTTCTTGCATGAATCTTTTTTCACAAAGTTTTCCCACGAGTTTTTCTTTGGGATGTTTCTATAAAGTAATCGACACAACAACATGATATCACATGTTTGCTACCAATATGTAAATAATACATGAAATCATTATTATGAAATATGAAACTAATTACCTTTTTCTTCTTCTCTATTTGTGATTGCATCTTCTTCGTTGACTTTTGCCCGATTTTGAACACTTTCTTGTCGAGTTCCTTTTTTTGGCTGATTTTGATTAGAGCTACTGTTAACGCTGCTGCCCGGTTTTTCTCCATTGTTTGACTTGGTTGCATCCATTTCCTTTGACTTGTGAAGATCTACATAATCATCAATCAACATTGATGGGCATTTTGGCACCCTGTTTAGCTTTTTAGAGCATTCAGCTTTTGACATCATTGTGTCCAAAGATAGAGTAGATTTCTCTGGTTTCTTATTTTTGGAAGAAATAAGTATTCTCCTTGCAACTGGTTTCCAACTTTTGAATTTTATCTCTATTGTTCTCTAGTAGATTCTCATGAATTCTTTTTTTCAGCATTCCTGGTTTCAATGTAATTTTCTCGTCATAATAATGTCATGAAAAGAAATATATAAATTTAAAGTATATGCAGGGATATTAACTACCTTGTGAAACTTCTTTGTTTCCATGTGCAAAAACTTCCTTAGCTTGTGGTTGCAAAAGCTTAGGTCTCTCTGCTTTATTCATAGCAATGTGGTTGTCCAATTTTCCATCAACCTTTTGAATTCTTTCTCTATTCACTATAGCTTTCACTTGAGTTCTTTTCTTTGGTGTTTCTAATTTTAGTGAAAATTCACCAAAAGATATTAGGAATAATTTCATGTAATATATGCATAATAGAAAAATTTAAAAATCACTTACCTTGTACAACTTCTTTGTCACCATGTGCATGATCTTTCATTACTTTTGGTTGCGAGAGTGTGTCTATCTCAATTTTATTTGAAATAGTCACTTTGTCCAAATTGTGATCAACCTTTTGAACTCTTTCTTGTTGATTTCCTTTTTTTGGTGTTTCTAATTTTTGTAAAAATTCATTAAAAAACAGTAGGAATAATATATCTAAAGGAATTCCAAAACATAACTTTAACATACAACATTTTATATAAAATCAAATGAAACTAGAAAATGATTTACCGTCCATAACTTCTATAATTTCCTGAACCCTTTCTCTATTGTTTCCTTGTAGCATATCATGTAACTTGTCAATTTTTTCTTTCTTAACATGTTGTAGCACTTTATTTCTCAATTCTGCACTTGATCTTACTTGAAAAGGAAAATCAAATCTTTTAGTAGGACTTCGACCACTCTTCCTATGTGATCCACCATCTTTTACACTTCTTACATTGTCCATTATGGCCAACAACTATGATATACAAAGGGGGAAAATTACATAATTATATAATGAAAAATTGAGTATAAAGTGACATTATGCATAACCATAAATTAACAGTATATTTTAATCTAGTTTGTTATGGTTTAAGTAAAAAAATGACAGCATGCTTAACCATAAATTAAACTTTGAACAAATCTATTTTCTACTCAAAATCTATTAAAAAATTGGTAAAACACATTGTCAATGCTACCTAATCAGTACTAGAATCATAATCGGTTTCATCGTCACTTCCATAACTCGTGTCACTGTAATCACTCTCTATTGCTTTTTGGTTGTGAAGTTCTGACAAAGGAATTTCAATGATATCATCCGGAAAATCTTTCCTAACCAAATCCACTTCACAATCATCCCTTAACGTATTAAGATTTGTTGAAATATCATATTTTTGGGCATCTGTACTTAAAGATTCTCCCATGTCAAATGATTCCCTTGGAAGTGCATTTAGAACATAGTGTTTGTTTTTGTTTAAAGGATCTTCAATAAAGAAGCATTGTTGAACTTGAGATGCCAACACAAATGGATCATTTTTGTAGCATTTTTTCTTAAAGTAAACCAACGGCGATCCATATTTATCCTTTTCATCCACAAACCAATCACATTTGAACAATACATATTTTTCATGACCATAATAATCTAACTCTATAATATCTTTTATTGCCCCGTAGTAAGTCACACAAATCTTTTTGGGATTTTCATCCTTCGCATTTCTAATAACTTGAGTCACCGCTTCTAATGTCACACCACTATTTTGTGTTTTAAGCCTTGCTTCACGATTTGTTGTATGAAACCTGTATCCATTAATAACATAACCAGAATACCTTCTAACAACATCATTTGGTCCCCTAGACAACACCTTCAACCATTCAGTAACTTTCTCATCCATGAGACGTGTTTCAAACCATTGAATAAAATCTTCTCTTTGATTGTTAGCTTTTCTGGACTTCCTTTTTTTAGAGGATTATGATCATTAACCTCATGCTCTCTAAAAAATAAATAACTAATATTTTAATACAAAAGAAAAAGAAAACTTATAGTGAGAATGAAATTTTGTATCAAGTAGATGAGTGTACCTAATATACTCTTGCACTTCATCGCAATTGAATAAAATGTAGCTGTGGGCTTGGTTTAGAGACTTATGATCAAGGAAAATTAGTTTCTTTCCCCAGATTGGATGACCTATGTTTGGAGTATCATCGCTATTTTGTGTCACTCTATTCATCCTTGTGTCTACAGCACTAGACAAATATCTTGAACAAAATGTTAGAGATTCTTTAACTAAGTATGCTTCAGCGATTGAACCCTCTGGACGACTCCTATTACGAACAAAAGATTTTAAATCACCCAAATATCTTTCCATATAATACATCCATCGAAATTGAACCGGTCCACCCAATTTGACTTCATTTTCCAGGTGAATTGGTAAGTGAACCATTATGTCAAAGAAACTCAGAGGGAAGATACGCTCGAATTGGCAAAGTGTTTCAGCAATTTCTACTTCCAAGTAATCCAATGTTTTCACATCTATAACCTTCTGGCATAAACACCGAAAAAATGAACAAAGTCGAAGCAAAGGGATAACAATTTGATTAGGGCCTATCCCTCTTATTGCTACTTGCAACAAGTAATTCAATATAATATGAGCATCATGACTCTTGTATCCAGAAACTTTTCCTTCATTAACTTGAAAACATCAAGAAATATTGGATGCAAGGCCATCAGGAAGTTTTACTGTCTTTAAAACATTAAAAAAATAGTTTTCTCTTGCTTTGTTAGGGAGAAACATGCCTTAGGGATTTGAGTTTTCTTACCATCACTTATTTCCTTCAAATGGAGTTTTTTTCTAATCCCCATGTGTTGTAGGTCCAAACGAGCTTTTGCATGATCCTTTTTCTTCCCTTCAATATCTAAGAGTGTCCCCATTATATTATCACAAATGTTCTTTTTTGTATGCATAACATCTACATTATGGCGCAAAGAATTATCCTTCCAATATGGTAATTGCCAAAAGATAGACTTTTTCTTCCATGGACCAAGCCTTTTTTTATGATATTTTTGCCCCACTACATCAGGAATCTTTTCTAAGTTTTTTAAAATCATTGTTGAATCTAACAAGGAGGGTGCAGACCTATATTTTGCCTTTCCATCAAAAGAACTTGAATTTGATCTCCAACTATGATTTGAATCCAAAAAGACTCGATGACCCATATAACACATCTTTCGACTATGTTTTAAGTATCTTGAAGAAGTTTTATGATTACAAGCAGGACAAGCAAACTTCCCTTTAGTACTCCAACCGGATAACATAGCATGTAATTGCAAGCTTCTCAAGTCATATTTAAAGCATGTGTTTTGATGAAGACAACATGGACATCAACATTCAAAGGATGTGCAAAAAGCTTATCAACATCATATAAAAGTCTTGAAGATTATTGAAGAATTATTGAAGAATCATCAAATGTCAAATGGTATAAATAATTCTTAAAATCTTGAATATAGATGTTCACAATATGCATTCATCAACATATACATATTCCATAACTTTAACATCAAGAAAAACATTGTTTGAAATATTTTTCAAAAAGTATTTTTGAAAAAAACCCTTTAGGAACCGGTTCCTCCCTAACAGGGAACCGGGTTCCAGACTTTCTCAAAAAGCATGTCCCTGGTTTTTGTACCAGGAACCGGGTTGTACCAATAGGGGAACCGGTTCCTGCGTGTAATTTTTGAATTCTATCTTATAACGTTCACTAAGAACCGGGTTCTGTCAGTGTCGGAACCGGTTCCTAGCGAACCAGTGTAGCTTTTCTTTTGGTTTTTAAACATTTTTCAAGTGGTATCTTTTCATGAATGCATTGTAACTTTTCACATGAATTGGCATGAATGAAGAGGTTCTTATGACTTTATAAAATGCAGATTTTTCAGTTTTTTTAAACAAGAACACATATAACATTTTCAAACAACAAAAAACCTTCTTCATATTAACAATTTTCTCATTCATTCAAATTTGCACATAAACTTTCACGTGTTCATAATTTTGTGAAACTTGCCATATACACTTTCATTATCATTACAAGTTTCATACATACATTGTGAACATTTATAAGGGGTCTTGGTTATGTGAATTCTAAGAAACCAAGTAACAATCCCAC